ATGGTGCCATCTGACTACAGAGAGTTAAAAACACAACAAGGCAAGGAGCACATGAGACTATATCTGCTTTTTGGCAGATTCTATTTGAGGGGTCAATGCTTTTTTTTAAAGGGGCTCCTCTTGCCCCTGAATTCTAAGTGGAAACTTGACATCGCTATCATAGTCAACAAAATGCTATATCCTATTATCTGACACCACAACAGCATCTTTACAAAAACATTTCTGACGTGTTGTAGACTAGTTGGCAACTAGAAATGTTGGCACATATTTTTTCAGTAACTAAACTTTAATTCTGCTTGAATATGGATTCAGCAATTGCTCTCAGATTTCAAAATAAATGGGTAAGCAAAGAAAATAATCAATGTACTGTAAGTTCAACCAAAAATCAGACGTGAACCCAAAACCAGTGGGGATTCCAGAGGAGAAATGTAAATATAAGTAAATAAACAAAATTATAATTCTTTAGAATCATATAAAAGAAATAGAAAAACAAACGTTTGCTACAACTGATGTAAGAGACTGAAACTGACAAGTGACTAATACAGCAACTAAAGGTGGTTGCTTAGAAATGAATCATTGTTTATGTGGCATTAGCATGAAATGAATTGAAAGATAAAATACCGTGGAACATTGCTATATAGAGAGTAATGTTAAATTATCCTGCATAAACCTTAGTTCCATGCATCATATTTATCAAACAATAAAAAAAAATAAATTACTCATCGAAAAATGAACTTAGAGTTGTTAAAGTGATACTCTTTTATCCATGATATGAAAGTAGCACCGCCATTAGTATTTCGTTTTTGTGGAACTCAATAGAGCACCTTTTGAACATACCCTAAATAATAAAGATTTTTTCCACTAAATGTTGTTACTGTGTTATAGGAGCTATACAACCTAAAGACCCATCTCAAACATTTTGTTTGCACTTCCCGATTCTTCATAGAATCTGTTCTAGTATTATAACTTCGAGAACCTTAAGAAATCCTACTGTAATTCCCTTTGACCTAAATGCAAGTTTTTATGAGATGATAGAGAGCTTGATATTGAGTAGATTCCTGTCAAGTCCTCCTTTCGCCAGGCTGATGAGGTCCTGCTTTGTTCTCCCCATTTTACTTTTCGAATCTTAATATTCACTGCCTTTGATTTGTTCACTATTTTTTAGATTCTGTGTTAATCTGTGTGTGAGACAAATTTGTGTATGGGACATTTCTAAACAAAATATGGAAAGAAACACATTGCTTGTTGGTTTAATATGGAGCTCCACATTTATCTGCTAAATGAAGGACCGCTCCATATTTAACAGGGTGAATGGCAAGCCAACTTTTAACACCTGTTCCTGTAATGTGCTAAGAAATAAACTTGCTTTGCCATTGTGTTACTGTAATGACCTTTCTTTTAGCTGATACTCTTAAGACACCATGTTTTGCTGTTGTTATCTGCAAGAAGAAAAAAGGCAGGGTGATTCTTTTTAAGCTATGATATGAGTGTAACATACTTTCCCTAAGGAAAGCTCACAGCATGGCATATTTTCTAAGCCCTGTACTCACAAATCAGGGCACCAATGTTTTTTTTTGTCTGTGTGTGTGTGTTGTTATTTTTGCTTAACTTGGTTATAAGAGGCAGGTTTTTTTTAACTTTTGTTTTAGAACAGGCAGTGACTTCAAACCTCCCAAAAAAGCACCATTAAACTATAACATTTATTTTTATTTATTTATATGTAAGGCATATAGACTTTTTATGTTGCCAAATAATTTTGCGCAATTTATTTTAACATTAACTCACTTTTGTTTCATATGCATATGGTACAATCACTCTTTTTATATACTCTACAGTATGTATGGTAATTGGTGCATTGGGGTGTGTGTGTATGTGTGTATTTTGAAAGAGATGGAGAGAAAATGAGAGAGAGGCCGCTCAGGCTAATGGTGATAATAAATGTATCAGACATCATTTAGATAGACATAGATAGACATAAGATAGACAAATCTGCATGTTTCTGATGATAGAATCCCTGTTTTTGAAACAGCTTTAACAAGATCATACACACAACCAATAAAAGCAAAACACTAATAATATGTGCTGAGATCATAATGACAAATGCTGGCATAGGTCAGCTCTTTGGTCAACCCAATTACCAAGTTACTAACTACAGGATCAAACACGGAGCCGGTGATTTCCTTCAGATGCTTGAATACTAGATATTCCATGGATATATAGGCTGCAGCGTCTGTAACACTGTGGTGAGTTTTTGGGAAAAGGATGATGGAGGAGTGTTTTATGTATGAGGGAAGCTCTGGCTAAATATATTGATATGTGAAAAAACTGCACAGCCAGTCATCTATGTTAAACTATTTCAGTTTTGTCGCTCCTTCTGTCTCTCACTGGTTGATCACATAGCTTCCAGGTAGGTTTGTTAGCCTATGGTCTGAAGACCCCCTCCCCCTGCGCTTGTAACCCCTGCTTGGTTCAGCCATAGTGAGGGATGTTCGGTTAAGACGTCTATGGAGCTCAGTTAGTGCCATTTAACGATACATTTATATTGTAATTGTCAATTGATAATCTATATTATAAATTATAACTGTAAAGTCTGGTAGCCATAATCGTATTTATCTACCGTATTTTCACGACCATAAGGCGCACCGTACTAAAAGGCGCACTCTCAGTTATGTGTGCCATTTCTGTATTTAACACACACATAAGGCGCACCGGACTGTAGGCCGCGTTTTTTATATACAGGTACATGTCCTCTACTACCTTTAAATACCTCTACTGCGTATTTAAAAATACAGCGGGGGCAAAACTGAGTATGACTGTGCTTTATTCATGTATTTATTACAAACTATTAATCAAACCTGGCAGCTGGCTGTGAGACAGACACATCGCAGATGACACAGCGCTGTGATCGCTCCTAAATTAACTTAAAATCCTGAAACCTGCCGACGGAATTTGTTCGCTTTTATTACCGGTATCCTGGTGCCTGCAGTTAAAATTATTTAGATGAAAAACACCTGCCAGCAGCCGCGGTGAGGCTGCTGATGAAGGGATTTCTAATGTCGGTGCACCGCTGGTATGTGGGGGTCTGAGCGCCTCCGACAGAAATAGATAATCTGGATGAACTGACTGCAATTATTAAGTTTTCAGGTGGACTTTCTCACTTAAAAAAAATTATTAAAACTACTTTATTCCCACTGATCACAGCAAATATAGCTGCAAGATTTAGATTATTTAGATGAAAAAACACCTGCCATCCACCGCGGTGAAGAGGAGGAGACGCGCCCAGAGGCTGCTGTTGAATTAAGTTTTCAGGTAGAAAAATAGAGCGGGAGCAAAACTGAGTATGATTGTGCTTTATTCATGTATTTATTACAAAGTATTAATCAAACCCATCAAAGTCATCATCCTCTGTTTCTGAATTAAACAGCTGCGCTAAATCAGACATGCCAGTTTCCCCTTCTGCGCTGTCAGAGTCACTTTCCGTGCAGCGCGGCTCCTCAGAAATAATGCCGGCTTTTGCGAAAGCTTGAACAACAGAGCCAGCAGACACGTTAGTCCAAGCATCTACAATCCATCCGCAAACGGTGGCGTAACTTGCCCGGCGCTGCCTTCCACTTATCCTGAAACTGTGGTCTCCGTCTGTCATCCATCGCTCCCACGCCGCTCGCAGCCTTACTTTGAACGGCCGCTTCACACCGATGTCGAGCGGTTGAAGTTCCTTTGTCAGACCCCCCGGGATAACAGCGAGCACAGGGTCCATTTGATTCACCTTTTTTTTTCACATCGGCTGTGAGATGGGCACGCAGCGATGGTGATGCGTGGAAAAAAACCCCTGTTCTCCTCACATACACCTGCCTCAGCCACGCTTTCATCATCTCCTCATCCATCCAGCCCTTTTCATTGGCGTTAATATCATATGTCATCAGAGCGCTGTGTCTGTCTCGCTGTCAGCTCCCAGATCTGCTTCTCTGATTGGTTGATGCGGCGCGTCCAGCAGCAAAACTTCAATTTTTCCATCTCGAGCAGCAGGACGCTGCGGGACCTTTTGCTGCGCCTATACGCGCGTCAACCATTGACTTTGCATGTAAACTCGCTGCTTCTGCTGCACCTGCTGCGTCCGGTTCACACCGATGTCGAGCGGTTGAACAGCGAGCACAGCGTTAATTTGTTTCCCCATGTTTTTGACATCAGCTGTGAGATGGGCACGCATGGAGTTACATATTAACAGCGATGGTGATGAGTGGAAAAAAAACACCTGGTCTCCTTACATTCAGCCACTCTTTCATCATCTCCTCAATGAGGTGGTCTCAAAAGTAGCAGTTACAACACACATAGGGCGCACCGCACCAAAGGGCGCACCGCACATTTTGAGGAAAAGTGCGCCTTATAGTCGTGAAAATACGGTATAATATCTTTCTTAATTGATCAATATTGATTATAAGGATTAGTAATTGACTATAAATTCCAACTATAATTATCAATAACATTTACAATCCAATAACAATAATTGTACAGGACAGCTAATTAAATGTTACACTATAAAGAAGAAGAGAAATACCTTATGAAAATAAAAAACCTCATGTACAAATAATAATTGATAATACAAAATATTATGTTGAAAATGCAATACAACAGATATATATAATGTATTTACAGAAGATATATTATGCCTAATTGTACAAACAAAAACTCCCAGAGAAGTTAAAAAAGGTCTGCAAATGGACATTGACATCTGAGAGGAATTATAAAGATCTAAGAAAGAATGTAAGTGATTCTTGATCAGAAATAGAAACTTTGTAACCAGTAACATTTATGGAGTTTATTGGGAGTAGCAGATTAAAATTCTAACAGCAGTTGGGAGGAAGGACCTGCTCAAGCACTCTGCTTAGTATCTTGGGTCCAGTAGTGTGTCACCTTAACACTGCTAGCTCTGTCCAATTGTCCAACAGTGCTGTAATTTCTCTTACAGTCCTTCTTTTTCTCACTTTCTGCACCGTGTCCAGGGGCATTCTAGGATAGAGCTGGCCCTCCTGATGAGTTTATCCAACTGCTTCCCAACACCATAGAAGATGGCTGATGCCACCATAGACCATAAAGAAGGTCTTGAGGAGCGCCCCCTGCACTCCAAAAGACCTCATTCTCCTCAGCAGGTACAGTCTGCTCTGACCTTTGTTGTTAATCGCTGTTTTGACTCCAGTCCAGTTTATTGTTTTAGTCAACAGTCCAATACTTATAAGAGCTTAGCATCTCAACGTCAATTACTTGGATGCTTACTGGTGTCAGTAAGGTTTTGTTACTGCGAAAGTCTGCCTGCAACTCCTTTGTTTTCCCTGAATTCAACGGTAGATAGTGCTACTGAAACATGTCTACAAAAGCTCTGTATCCGCTGTCTGTTCTTTTAGGTTGTCCTCATCTCCAAGTCCAACAATGGCAGAGTGATCAGAGAAGTTCTAAAGGTAGCAACCAGGGGAGCTGATGGAGAAGTCTGCAGTATAGAGGGTGGACAGAAACAGTGCTAGCACAGTTCTTTGTGGAGCACCTGTAGCGCACACCAACCTGTTAGAGAGGCAACCATTTGTCCTCACATACTGCAGTCGACCAGTAAGGTAATCCAGTATTCACTACACTCCAGCTTTTGATTTAGAACTAGTGGTTGGATGGTATTGAAAGCACTAGAAAAATCAAGGAACATGATTTTACAGTATTCTCATGTTTCTCCAGGTCAATTATCAGCCAGGGGCAACAATTTACAGATGATATGTGTTATGCCAACACATTATTTACATCTGCACAAACAGCATGTCAGTTGAAAACAATTTGAAATGGGGAACTGGTGTTGTTTTAAAATAGATTTGATCCAACAAACTACTGATTAATACTGGAAAAACCTAAATGCATTCCTTACAAATAACATATTTGTTTAACCTACCAACTGAATAGTTCGAAGGAACACGGTTTTTAGGAATAATAGTGTATTCTAAAGTATCTTGAACCAGAGAGCCTTAATATTATGCCATCTGGATTGACAGCCTTCCTAACCTTGGTTTTCCCACAATATGTTCCTTGCCTATTTTTAAGTTGCTGGTATAGTTTCAGAAAGTGTTAGTTTGTTTCATGCATTAATTTTGTTAAAGCTATCAGCCATGATGGATGTAAGAACTTTAGGTGAGAGCTGACTTGTTTAACACAGTCACAGAAATCAAAACTTTTAACTGAAAACAAACAAGTCCTGAACAAATTGTTCAAATTTTGTTGAGTCACTTTACTGATTTATAAATTGATTTACTGACTAGCCCCTGCTTTTGTTAGTTGTCCATAATAAAGAGATCATACAAATACTGGCAAAAGTGGAAGCTCTGGTTTGTTATTTCATTTCAACTCACCTTCTGCTCTGAGCTGTGACCAAAGCACACAAATGCTAGCTGCAGCCTGACTCGTCATACAAATCAAACCAATTGTAAAATATTTTGAGCAACAACATTTTAACAAAAAAATTTAATAAATTAGTTTAGATAAGCTGGATCAGGAATTTTCTTTGAGATCCACAGCTCAGCTAAAAATTCAAGCTGACACATTACCAGCTATGGCTGTAAATAAAACATAAATTAACATACTTTTTTGATGACTTACCTTAATATTCTTGAAAACAAAATCTAAGAGAAGAAATGGCTACCCTAAGTGTCCTAACCTGTTGGATTGGTAAGAATGGAGCATTGCCTACTCCCTCTTCCTCTAATAGGTAGTGGGAGTGACTTTTTCTAAGTGGCCATTGCCACCACCCTCTGAACTGGATTGTAGTTATTGTTACTAGTTATCTTAACTCCATATACAATTATTTCACTTTCAAATCTAAGAGGTTTGATTAATTCTGGAAAGCTTTTGTATTTTACAGTGTGGTGTTTGATGATAAATCTGTTTGCCTTACCTTTACCTCACCTTGCCTGTGTGCTTTAAATGTGCACAGTCATGTTTCTGGCATAAGATCAGTGTAATATCTGTTGTCGCAATCATTTTTGTTTTTACCATGTCTGACTTGCACACAAGATAAACAAACACTGCATAGTCATTTATGAATGGAAGCTGGTCTGTAAACTTTACCTTGGGCAGTTTCAAATGAAGTGGTCCCCTCAACTTAAGTAAACAAAAGGGAATGAATGTACTAACTGTATTTAAAGTAAATTGGTACGTTTACACTTAAATAAATGACACATCTTTTATGCCGATTGCTGCATTTTTGTGATCTGATTAAAAATTACAACACTGGTTGGTGTGCTTATATAAATTCCTAGTGTTTATGTTTCTTTGTTCAGTTCAGCCTGAGCAGTTTGCTGCCTTCTGGCAAAGCAGAGACCAGTCACCATCTGGATGACTGTTCTGCTTGCTGCTGTCACTTAAAGCCCTGAGGAAACCTTTCACACTTTGTCATCTTCTCCGTTACTCAGGGTCAATAGACCACAGAGGAGGGAGAGATAGTAAATAGAAAAGGCAAGGAGAAATTGGTAGAGATAGTGATACAAAATGTGAAGAAAAGAGAAAAAAGGTAAAGGGACCTGGTAAACACATGCCAATAGGATGTGTTAAGCAAAAAAATAGGGTTAAATTCGTACGAATGTTACATCAACAAAAACAAACATACAAAAAAAACTACAAATCCCAAAGAGATGGGGTTGAGCTAGGCCAGGAAACACCGTCAAAAAGCAGGGAAATTCATACGGGGTATTAAACATTTCGACACATTATTGACAGTAGAAGGTCAAATTATTTATCGGCACATTTTATACACATTTACAGTTAATGAATGAATGAATGAATCAATCAGTCAATCACTTTATTGTCAACTATATTTTGCACTGTAATCGAGATTTCAGTTTCAGTACAAACCGTTCATCACATACATAAGATACAATGGGGGTGGCCTGGCAGGGGGAAAGATTTACTGGGGCCAGGTGCGCTGCAGAATGCTGCCGTTGGCATGTTCTTACGGCCCCATCGTAAGGCGGTTCCCTTATTGCGCGATCATTATCCCTGTGGAAAGATAAGAGCCACATTGGGGAGGGAGAGGGAAAAAAAAAAAAAGCATATTTCACACTTTATCCTTGACAGTATACAGTTTGAGATATAAAAAAAAACACCTCAGCACAAAAAAGCACATGTATCACGAGCGAAACATTTCAGCAGAAGGAAAACATCGGAAGCTGGAGCTACATGAAAGTCAGTCTGACATTTGAGAATCAGTTGTGTGCGTGTGTTATGAGTGCGTTCAGTTTGTCCATGAACGCTGAATACAGGCCAAGGTAGGGGGTGGGGAGCCTGTAGTTCTGGGCCCTTCCGCCATAACATCCAGGGGAGTTTTGATAAGGGGGAGGCTGAATCAAAAATAACACTTTCTGTTTCTAGAGCAGGCTACACAAAATTTACTATCAGCCTTGGGTCTTTTCTTGATGGCTTCACATTGCGAATCCAATATTACAAATTTCTTTGGCTTTTCTGCCTTGAAGCCAGCGTGCACATCCAAGATATTATCCCATCTCACCCTTTAGTTCAACCACCGCAGCCAGTCTGTGTTCAATCGCACCCAACATATGGCTAAGCTCACGGTCCTGCTCGTTCACAGCGTTTGTGAGCGTGTCAACTCCTGCCGACATCCTCTGTAGTTTTAGATGCATCAGGTATCCTCCAAATCCAAACAGGAGAAATTCGAGTTTCATAAATCCGAAAATCCATGCATTTTCGACATCCTCTAATGACAACATTGAAAAACTGTCCATCCTCCAAGCCTTCCAGGAGTCCATGGTGTACTCCACGAGGTATGTCCCAGCAGGACTTAAAGGGTCCCCCTTCTCTGTCTTCCAGTTGGGAAAATTTGATCAATTGCATTGAGAGACCAGCTGACAAGATCCATTGTTTTAATTTAGGGTGATATGAAGAGAGGGCTCAGAAAGGACAAGACAAAGCAAAGGAAAGGAAAGTGCTACTGCCTAGAGTCAGAATAGAACATTTTTTACACATTTACACCAATCAGGTACATTTCAAGTACAAAAAAGTCACCTGAAAGTTTGCTTCTCAGTGTGATCAATCTATAGCCTGGGTGCCACCTCCGAACTTAGTCCCGCCCACAACGTTTGAGGTCGGGAAGTTTGGTCTGGCATTGCTCAATATTAGCGCGAGTATGCTGGCACAAAATCTGGCGGGCCAATCAAATTGTCAGGGCGGGCTTTATACGATGATGGACAGATGATCAACAGTAACGTAATCAACCACGTCACCAAATCGCGCTTGGGTGACAACAACAATTGCTGCCGCTTGAGAGTTCAGGTGTGTAGATTCTGCTATTAGGTCTGTTCTAGAAGATATCGACAGCAAATTAATTTTAAAAGAGGAACAGAGAAACGCGATCAAGGCTCATCTTCTTATTCTAGGCGTGCAACTGCACGCTTTGATTTTTGTTGACAACAAATATGCGTCGCTTAACATACGTCACGCACTCCGTTGCTCTTATTGGTTGTAGGTCTATTCAGTTGAGTGCAGAGGCATTTTTTTTTTACTGGTTCGTTCGAAACACACCCCATAATCACAGCTCTATGGAGCAGTATCAGACTCATATTCTGACTAGAATTGAGTAGGACTACGTCAGGCTAATCAATCTATATACAAAGTCAAAAAAAGTAATTACATTTTCAGTACTATTCTAATGTATTAAATAGTGTTTAAACATTTTAATTTGTTTTTAAACACTGTAGTGGATATTTTACTTTACTTGACCTTGGCTTTATGGTGACGCTGTTGTTTAAAGGAATAGTACACCCAAAACATGATTAGCCTTCATTTTCTGCTCACCCCCATGCTGAACAACACTCTGGAGTACTTTTTTGATATCTCAAATGCATCTGGAGATCTGGGAGGCTTCTTGCTGTCTGCTGACATTCAAATAATGGAGGTCTATGGTGCCCGAGACAGAAAGGTCCATAAAAGTCCACAAAAAACATGTCAATATTCCTCCATACTGCTCGTCCAATGTATTCCAAGTGTCCTGAGTGGGTAGCATCCAGAATTTACTCGAAACAAAGTCATTTAGAATGTTTTTAGAGCATAAACAGTGGTGTATAGGATTTCCTGAAAGCGCGTTCATGACGCTACGGAAGCCAGCAGACCAAACCAGATGAAAGTGCGCATTCAGCGTCTGCTCTACCGATAATGCAAGCGTAGAAGAAGAAATGTGCTGTTTACCTGTGCAAAGAAAGAAACAACGAAAGAAAAGGAGTTCAGTGTTGAGGAAGAGCATGAGTTCTTTGCTGAGCTGAATGCGCACTTTCGTCTGGGTTGGTCTGCCGCGGTTTCCGTAGCGTCGTGAACGCGCTTTCAGGAAATCCTATACACTACTGTTTATGCTCTAAAAAAATTCTAAATGACTTCGTTTCGAGTAAATTCTGGATGTTCTGATAAACGTGTGAACTGGTGAATATTAGACATTCAACTTTCAAGGTTACTCTGTTATCATACAAACAAAAAACCCATCATACCTCAAAGACCTGCCAATATATAAAGTATTCTTCAGTGGTTATTCAATGAATCCTTTTCTGCCTCATTTTAGCTGCAGGACTGATAT